CAAATTTCGCAATTGTATTATTACAATTATACTTCATCGTTTCGGCTTAAATATTCCTCGCTAGAGAGCTCATAAATGCGTCCGATCGCTGCTAAATTCAAAGTGCTATAGGAAGAACCGCGACTTCCGTACACAACACCCGCAAACGCTACGTCCCACAATTTTTAAATCTATGATATCTTCGAAAATATTAATTTAAAAAGACGCATCAAAATCCGTTGCGTAGTTTTAAAAAATTAAGCATAAATAGACTTTGCTTTATACTATGTAAKGAAATAATACCACTTTTYGTTGTAATTTTGTAACTTAAGGACGGGTCSACCTAGTCAAACCAAATYATGAGGCTTTCTTCGGACTATTTAGGAAATGGTTTATGTGAASTTTGCAAAAAATCGGTCGAATCGGTTCTTCATTTATAACATTTTTTGTAAAAATTTTTTAAGATAGGGATTGTGCTGTCAAATTTTTATGTCGTTGTATCATTGTGAGTGTATAAGTGCAAAGGGTGAGTCTTAAATTGTTCCAATGTACTATATACTATATATATGTGTGTGTATACTTTTCTCAGTTTTTTAGCGTATCGTCGGTGTTTTATATCTGTCTGTAAACAGACACYTAAATTATCAAACAGCGGTAAGTTTTGAAAAGTTGAAGTGAAATACATGTGTGTTTCTTTATCTGGAAAAACATTTTATGTGCATACAGGTATTTTCTTCTTTTGTAATAGATACAATTTGTTTTTAATTTGATTTATTCTTTTTTATGTGAAGAAAAATGCCACGAGCCAAACGTTTTGGTTGAAATGATGCGTTCTGTTTGTAACCCTTTGCACCAGGGACCTTTCTCGCCCGGCGTACCAGTAACTCGAAGCGTTTCGTAGCGTATTTGGTGAATTTCTTACCTCTAATTTAATATCTAACTTAAAATGATTACACCCATAAAGTAACACATAAAACTTTTATATTTTAATATTAAATGTATCTTTACTTATTTAAGGTAATACTTTTACAAACGTTACCCCTTGTAACTTTACATTGCAAGGTATTTGAGATAACAACAGCCGAGGTGCATGACCGACTTGTCGGGACAAGTGTTACAATAATAAGTTGTTTGTTGTTGGTGTTGTGTGTTAACGGTTATTTAATCCCCRTTAGGATGGTAAGGGTTATTTGCGTTTTCGTCAAAGTCATCTAAGGGGAGGCCCACGAAATGTGCTGTTTCGACGGGGTCGGAACAAAGGGAGGAGGGTGTTAGATGAGTAGGGTTTGTAGGGCATGCAAAGAGGTGGTCAGTATCATGCGGAGACTCGTTGCATGCAGGACATACATTGGGTATGTCAGGGTCTATTTTGGATAAGTAGGAGTTTAACCTGCTACAATATCCAGAACGAAGTTGCGCTAAGATCACTTGCGTTTCTCGCGGCAACTCGAGCTCTTCGTCTGCAATGGGTGATGGTTTGTCTCCAAGAACGCCATTCACGGGAAGGGAGTTGGTGAAGGTGTTGATGACTCCACTATGAATGGCTATTAGTATCTGTCGAAAGTCAGTTGCGTCGGAAGTCCGATCGGCGTACGAAAACTTCCCAGCAGGGACTGATTGGAAAGGAGTTCATTATGCTCCTTTACAGGAAGCATGAGCGCCTCACTATGAAGGTTCGATGGGAGACATCAAAAGGCATCTCGTCGTGGT